CAGGCACCCCCCCCCCCTTTGTTTAATTTTGAGACAGGGTCTCAGTGAGTCACTAAGTTGTCCAGAGGCTGGGCTCCAACTCTAGTTTCTCCTGCCTCAGCCTTCCAGAGAGCTGGGATGACAGGGAGGCACCACCATGCCTAGCTCAAAGGTTTTTATGTTAGGGAGACACCTGATGATAGAGCAACACTGTTAGACAAAACGGTCAAAAGGAGCTCTGGTACTCAAAATGGCGCCCGCTTTTCGTAAACGGATCGTTTCTTCCCTGGGAAGGTGGACCTGACCTCACCACCCCGCCCCGCTACTCATCCGCCAATAGGGTTAAACTCCATCACCTGCCCCAGCAATACAACCAATCCTCAACCCCCACGATGCTCTCCCACCACACCACCCTTTATAAGCCTCACCCGGTTAGTCTCTCGCAGGCTCTCGCCATTGTTCGAGACAGCCCAGCAGCTCTCTCCCCCAGGAAAGCCCTGCCTCAGGGGCTCCTGTTTCGCTCGATTTCTTTCAAACACTACACAGTAAGACAGACCCTCCCCTTGCCTCTCCAGGTCGTGTGCACCCCCCTCCACACACACACACACACACACACACACACACACGAACTGTGTGACCGTTCAGGAATGTTCTCTTAAGCTCTGCCCCCTTACAAGAATATTCTGCTCAACTCTGGCCCCTTACAAGAATGTTCCATTAGCTCCGCTCTTCTCGGGAATGTTCTGTTAGTTCCGCCCCTCAAGAATGCTCTTAGTCCGCCCCTTTTAGGAACGTTCTGTTAATTCTGCCCCTCTGCTTCTGTGAGCATGCTCGCCTACCCCGTGATCCCTGAAGGAGGCTCTCATTTCTGGTAGAGCGCTCCGATTTCGGAGTAGGAACTCCTCTGAGCCTGCCAGCGTAATAAAGGTTTTTCTCCACCTCTTTGAGTGACCAAATCCTTGACTGAATCCTTGAGTCGTCAAATTTCAGTAGCTGTGACACTGAGGTATAACACTTGACTATAGCACCGAGCTGTTCCTCTTTGCCACAACACTAACAGAGCAGAAGGCAGTCATGTTGGCTGTCTAATGCCACTATGATACCGTCTCCAAACTGGGCAGGGAGGAGCAGGCCTATAATCCTAGCTACTCAGAATGCTGAGGCAGGAGAACCACACGTTTAAACCCAACCTGGGCAACTTAGCAAGAACCTTTCTCAAAATTAAATTTAAAAAGGGCTAGAGATGTATCTCAGCACTTCCTGGGTTCATCCCCCAGTACTGAAACAAAACAAAAAAACCCAGATGATATTTCTCTTTCAAAGATTGGGTAGGTTTGTTTGCAGTTCCTTAGAAAACTTTGGGGTTACTTACTGGTGCACAGCCGCCTGCACTGGTCCATGTCACTCCCAGGGAAAGACTTAAGAGTCAAAGGAAACTCACAGAGATGTGAGGCTCTGTACCCCCTGTGCCATGATGAAGTCCTTTGGTCTCTGGCCAGGGGTCTGGTGTCTTCTGCCCGCATCCTTGAAGCTAAGAAAAACTAGGGCATTTAGCACCATATCCCCAAAATGCCTCCTTTGTGTACCCAAGACTCTTGCCAAATCAAGGGGACATTGTAAGTGGACAGGGACCGGAATGTCCACATAAGAATTATCTGATTGCAGGGCGGAGGTGAAGCATGCCTGTTTTTCCAGCACTCAGGAGGCTGATGCAGGAGGATTGCTGCAAGTTCAAGGCCAGCCTGGACTAAATAGTAAGACTGTGTCTCAGAAGAGAAAAAAATTATCGGAGGGACCCAGGGAACTGGACAAATTAGTGCTATCTGTAGAAACTACCTTCTTGACCGTATGTTAAGTCGTCCTTGGAGGCTGACACACATGGGACAAAGCAGCTATGATGTCCCCACTATGTAGTTTACTCTAGAAACCTCCACCCTGCCCAGCTGGGTGCAGCACCATTGTATCTTTGGGATAAAACCTCTGCCTGCTGCCTGCTTGGGTTGAGCATGGGGTTGAGGAAAGAATTTAACAGGGGAGAAAAGACCCAGAGTTATCTCCACATAGCATTTCCACTTCACCCCCAAGGACATGCTGAAGGGACTTAGAGAATGTCTGTAAATTTCTGGGGGAAGAAACAGCAAGTGCAAAGGCCCCAAGGCTGGAGGGTGCTTGAGTTCTTTAACAAACAGCACAGACCCAGGGCCTGAAGTGGTTTGAGTGCCTTAGGCAGGATGGAAACTAGGAAGATCATGAGGGCCAGCTGGGCGACTGTAAAATGTTGGGTTTTACTATAAAAATGTTACCCTTGAACTCACTATGTAGCCCAGGATGGCCTCGAATTTTTAGCAATCCTCCTGCCTCAGCCTCCCAGGTGTAACCCCCCCCCCCAATCCCCAAGCTTGGGCTTTACTCTGAGTGCAATGAGAATTCACTGAATGGTTTGGAGCAATGGAAGGAACATTACCTGATGCATATTTTTAAAAGATCTCTGTCACTCATGGAGACTAGAGAAGCAAAAGTAGAATCAAGAAGGATAATGACATGTCAATCAGAGCAATTAGAAAGTTAGGGCAACCATGCTGATAAGAGATAAAAGCAGTTTGGGGGACAGAGATTGGAGAGTGGGAAGTGATCCCATGTTGAAGACAGAGTCTAGTGAGGTGAGGTTTTGGTGCACACCTGCAATCCTAGTACTCTGGGAGGCTGAGGCAGAAGGATCACAAATTCAAGACCAGCCTGGGCAACTTAGCAATTTAGTGAGGCCCTGTCTCAAAATTAAAAAAAATACAGGGTGGAGGTATAGCTCAGCTTCAAGGCCTTGGGTTCAAGGCCCAGTCTTGCAAAAAAATTTTTACATAAATATATACATATATGGGGGGACAGGGCTAGGATGTAGCTCAGTGGTTGAGTGTGTAGATCATATCATTATCAGGGGGTTAAAATTCAACATAAAATGTCAGGGGATCCTATGGTTAGTAAATCCCAGCCCTCCAAAAGAAGAGCGATACCTAGGCAGAAGTCTATTGGAGGAGGGAGAAGGCACCACTGCAACAAGAACACTTGGGCCGTAATATCTGCTAGTATCTCCAAGGTGAGGCAGAGAGAGGCTGTGCTGTTTTGTAAGGAGACACGAGCAAAGCACAGGGATGGTCTGAGTTAAAAAAAGAAGCAGCTGAAGCTGGGCGTGGAGGGGCACAACTGTATTCCCAGCGCTGGGGAGGCTGAGGCAGGAAGATTGTAATTTCAAGGCCAGCCTGAACTACATAGTGAGACCCTGTGTCAAAACAAAAATGGGGGCCGGGAATTTCGCTCAGTGGTTCTGCCACTGGCCTTGCCAGCACAAGGTCCCAAGTTCGATCTCCGGCACCAAATATATATACTTTTTCCCCTTGTCTTTATTCCCTAACAATGCAGTATTAACAAGTGCTTACACTGAATTAGATATTATAAGTAATCTGGAGATTATTTAGTGTACAAGAAGGTGTGAGCAGGTTCTGGGTAAATACCGTGACATTTATAGAAGGGATTTGAGTGTCTGGAGATTTTGGTATCTGTAGGAATCCTGGAACCAATGTCCTCGGATACAGCAGATGACTGTACCATCACACAGGTAGAAATGTGTTCCTGACAGTTCTGGAGGCCTAGAAGTCTAAGGTCAGACACCAGAGTTTTGATGTGCGGTGCAGGTTTCTGGGTCACACAGCGCCTTTGGTCTATGACCACATGGTGGAAGAGGCAGGAGTCTCTCTGGGGCCTCCTGATAAGCGCTCTGATCCCATGTGTGAGGAATCTGCTCTCAGAACCTAATCATCTCCCAAACATCTCCCCTTCTATTTTGTTGTTGTTTAGTTTTGTTTGAGACAGGCTCTTGCTATGTACCCTAGGCTGGTCTCGAACTTGCCACAATCCTCTTGCCTCAGCCTTTTAAGTGCTGGGACTGCAGGTGTGTGCCACCAAGCCAGGCAGAGGCTTCATGTCATCGCCCTCCGTCCCCAGTTGTGACTTCCATCTCCACGTTCCAGCCTGTCCCCCAGATGTACTGGGCTAGAGCCACCAGGTTTGGTCACAGCTTTGGACAATCAGACTCTAAGCATGGAGGGCAACCCACAGCCCAGTAATCACGTGGCCACATGTGGAAGGCATCTCTACCCGCTCCGCTTGTGGGACAGCAGGGGAGGAACATCTCCAGCTCCTTGGGAGCTTAGAATGAGGGCCCAAGGGGGCCCAGCGCAGCCCTCTCTCTCCTGGCCCCGTCACCACAGAAAGGGCGCTGGCTTAGCCACACACGGCCTCCGACCCAGCTGGGACTGGAAGTAGCATGCATTGTATCATCCTGGGGCCGCTGGCACACACCTGTGACCCAGCCACTCTGGGACTGAGGCAGGGGGACTGCAAGTTCAAAGCCAGCCTGGGCAACTTAGAGGGGCCCCCTGTCAAAGTTAGAAAACAAAAAAGGCTGGGGGTGTAGCTCAGTGGTATAGCAGCCTGGGATGGACAACCAATACCACACACACACACACACATACGCGCGCGAAGTAAAAAACAAGACAAATAATGGGTGGGTGCTCAGATGACACCTGCGTCTTTCAAGTGGTTCCAACTCAGAAGGCAGGAAAGGGGTTACTTCCCAAACCCCTGACCTGAGCCACCTGTGATGCCCCGCCAGGCCCTTCTCTCTTCCACCTCCCTTTCTTCCCCCTTGCTCTGCCACACAGATCCCCTTCCTGCTTCTAGAAAATGTCAATGTCACACCCATCCTCGGGTCTCTGCCTTTCCTGTCCTCCCCAGCTCCCTGGGCTGGTTTCTCTCAGCCACTCAGACCTCTGTGGCACCACCGCCTTCCTCTCCATACAGAGCATCTTGTGGCCCTGCTCTGCTGTCTCGGGGGCCCCCATCACCCTGCTTGACACCCAGTCTTCCCTCTGAGCTCAACACAGGCCACTGTGTGGCCCCAGCACCTAGAACAGTGCCTGCCAGGTCGCAGACGCTGGGGGCATTTGAAGAGTGAATAAACTGAATGCTTTTTTGAAAAATGATTGTTATTTAATAGCAAAATAATATATGCTGTGAAAAACTTGAAAAAGGCAGAATACAAAATTCAGAAAATACATCTAAGCACCTTTAGAAACATTCGATTACTACAAGGCAACTTGCCCTTGATCCACCTGCCGTGTGCGCACAGGTACTGAGTAAACATGCACAGGGGTGGGTGCCCTGGATGCAGACGGCCCTGCCAGGCCTGGAAGGGGTGCAACCCTCAGGTCCCCAGCCATGAGCCCCACCGTCCACTCATTATGTCCTGAGGGAGCCCTGCTGGGGCCCGGGGCTGTTAGGCTGCAAGGCACTGCAGTGCCCTTGGGCAGAGCTCCAGGCTTGCTACTTCTAGATGGACCTGCGCAGCTAGAGCTTCGCAGGGACGGAGGCCACACGGCTGGCACTGTGTGGGGTCCCAAGGAACCAGTTTTCTCCACTCAGAACCCTCCAGCCTGATTAGCTCCTCTCTTCAATTTGCTGCTCCGAGGGGTGGGGTGCAACAGTGAACGCTGGGATGGGTCCCGGGGCCAGGGGGCCGGTCACATCCACCAGTCCATGGACTCTTTGGGGGAGGGCCTGACGATGACCACGCAGTGGGGCAGCCCCCGGCACAGGATCTGCTCAGCCTCCTGGCCCTCCCACCCCAGCCCCTGCAGCTCGAGCACGCGAAGCTTGGGCATGGTGAGGCAGGAGGAGATGATCTGGGTCGGGGTGGGCATCTCTGGGGTGATGAGGGGCCCCTGCAGGCACAGGCTCTCCAGCGCAGGCATCCCCTCCAGCAGGGCCAGCCCCTGTGGCGAGAGGCCGCCCACCGTGAGCCGGACCTTGCGCACACCCCGGAGATGGCGGCTGATGGCCCGCAGGGTGCTATCGGCTGGCAGAGTGCAGCCCAGCACCTCCAGCCTCTGCAGGTAGCTCAGTTCCTGCAGGCTGGCATCCAGGCCCGTCTCGGTGACGCGGTAGGTGCCACCCAGCACCAGCGACCGCAGGGCTCGGAAGCGCGGCAGGCCCTGCAGGTGCTCGTCTCGGAAGGCGGGCACGCGGTCCAGCACCAGGCACTCAAGCAGTGGCAGGACACGGGGGTCCTGCTCACGCAGTAGCCAGGCCATGGAGATCTCGCAGCTGTGCAGCTCCAGGGTCTGCAGCGTGCTCGGCAGGCTGGTGATGGGCACCGAGCTCAAGTCCGCCACGTGCAGGCACAGGCGCTTCAGGTTGGGGCACTTGTCACCCAGGGCCCTCAGCAATGCAGGAGACAGCTGGGGTGCCTGGGAGCCCGAGAAGAGGTATCCGCCCATCCGAAGGGAGTGGAGCCGGGAGGCCATGTAGCGGCGGAGGAGGTGCCACATGACTTTGGGCCGCATCTGGAAGAGCCGGAGGTTGGGGTTACTGGGTGAGGGGTGCAGGCCCGGCCCTGTCTGGTGAGACACCCTGGCATGGCTCCTGCTGTCTCCTGGCTTCTGCCCTTCCCCTCCCCAGAGAAAAAGACCATCTGACCCACCATCTTGACTACTAGGACTTTGGTTTTTCGTGGTTTTTTGTCGTTTTATTTTTCTTGGAGACAGAGTATCGCTATACAGCCCAGGCTGGCCTCAAACTCAAAGTGATCATCCTGCCTCAGCCTCCATATTGCTGGGATTACAATTTTTGCCACCATGCCCAGCTAGGCAACAGAATGGATTGTTTTCCTTCCTTCCTTCCTTCCTTCCTTCCTTTCGTACTAGGGATGGAACTCAGGACCTTGTGCTTGCAAGGCAGGTGCAGTGCCACTGAGCTAAACCTCTGGCTCTAGGAAGCTTTTTATTGACGCCCTCTCAGGAAGAAAAACAAGCTACAAGGAATAAGACCAACAAAGGCTAATACTCCCTGAGTCAATTAGGCCTAGGTTAAAAAACAAAAAGGCAGTCTAGTAACAGTGAGAATTGTAAATAGTAACTGGGAAGTTTATAGAAAATAGAATATAGCACAATGCATTCCAGTGTATGCACTTTTTACCTTAGGAAGAAAGGAAACTGGACAGCATAAATCTTAAATATATTGACCTAGTTTTTTTTGTGCTGGGGATGGAAGCCAGGACCTTGTGCATGTTCAGCCTGGGGTTTGGCACTGAGGAACAGCAGCACTCACCCATAAGCATGTATCTGGTTACCTATTTTTGACACAAGAATCAAATCTCCCTGGACAAACTGATTTTGTTACTTATTTTGGTTTTTTGAGACAAGGTCTCACTGTGTAGTTCAGGCTGGCCTTAAATTTGTGTTGATCCTCCTGCCTCAGCCTCCTAGCTGGGATTACAGGTGTGTGTTGCCACACCTAGCTTCCTGGCCAAATTTAGATCTGTAGGTCTGGGCCCCTGGGACTTGACTCACTAGAAATACTGGTCACTCGTATTCAAGGGCAGAAGCCACAGCTGACAAACTGTGAAATGGGCACAGTCAGCAGACAAAGGGAATTTTTCCTCGCAGAACAATGGATGAGGAAATGCTTTTAAGCTTCCTAATATCAATATAAGCTCCAAGGTAGAGAAGCACATTTTCTCAGGCTCTGCAGGAAGGAATTACTCTGATTTCTGTGAAAAGCAATTTGGTGGTTTCTGTTGACATTTACAATGTGGAAAATAGCTACCGCCTGTTTTATCTTCAAAGAGCAAAGTCAGCCATCTATAACAGTGGGCTCTGCATCGCTGATGTGACCAAACGTGGATCAGAAACATTCAGAAACAAAACAAAACAAAACTGTGTCTGTACTGAATATATACAGGCTTTTGTTTCTCTTTTTTTGAGACAGGGTCTCACTATGTAGTCCAAGCTGGCCTCAAAACTCTTGGCAGTCCTCCTGCCTCAGCCTCCTAAGTGCCAGGGTGACATGCATGTACCACCATGCCCGGCTAGACTTTTTTCTTTCTTTTTTTGGTTTTTTTTAGACAGGGTCTCGCTATGTAGTTGAGGGTGGCTTTGAACTCATACGTAGCCCAGGTTGGCCTCAAACTTGTGATGATCCTCCTGCCTCAGCCTCCTGAATGCTGGGATGACAGGTGTGTGCCACCACACCTGGCTAGACTTTTTTGGTTGTCATCATTCCCTAAATAATACGTTTATGCTGGTCGGGGATGTAGCTCAGCAGCACAGCACCTGCCTGGCAAGAAAGAGATCCTAAATTCAATCCCCAGTACTAAAATAAATAAATAAATAAATAAATAAATTTTAAAACAGGTTTAAATCAAGGAAAATAATTTTTTCTGTACAGCCACAGCCGTTAACCAAAATCCTCAAAGGCAGAACTCTTTTCAAAATTAATGTGGTGTGCCGGGCATGGTGGCACACGTCTGTCACCCCAGCATTCAGGAGGCTGAGGCAGGAAGATTGCTTTGAGTTCCAGGCTGGCCTGAGCTACACAGTGAGACCCTGTCTCAAAAAAAAAAAAAAAACGACAAAAAAATTAATATGGTAAAAACAATATGTGATACCAAGAGTGGGCTCTGGGGTCACATCCTATAATCTAATTGCTATTTTTCAGTATAACACAATATAAAAATAATATTCTAAGTAGAATAAGGAAAAGGATATTAAGAGTTTCATACCTGTTCAGGTCAGATTTGTCACCAAAAAGAAAAAAAAAGTGTGTCTAGCTTATTTAAAAAAACTTTTCATTTTGCAAGGATTTGTTTTGTTTTGGAGACAGAGTCCTGGTAGTATGTTGCCTAGGCTGGCTGGGAAATTGTAGATTCAATGGATCCTCCTGCTTCAGCCTCCAGAGTACCTGGGACTACATCTGCACTCCACCATGCCCTGCCTCACTTCACAAATGATTTGATTTTGAAATTGCAGATGAACTGAAGATGATACAGTACAAATGACCCTAACTCTTCAGAAACTGCACTGCTGCATTTCAAAGTGACTCCCACGTGGGAACAAGAAGATAGTCCAAAGGACTTCTAACTGCTCAGGGTGGGATTCGGACTATACTGGAGGTAGGAATTCAGAACCTGGGTTAGGGTTAGGGTTAGGGTTAGGGTTAGGGTTAGGGTTAGGGTAGTAGGTGGTGAATGTGGTCTTTTTGACATCATCCTCTACATATTTCTTTTTTTTTTTTGGTTCGGGGGATCGAACTTGGGTCCTTGAGCTTGCACAGCAGGCGGCGAACCACTGAGCTAAATCCCCAGCCCTACATATTTCTTAAGATTTTAAAAAATTTCATAGTAAAAACAAGAAAAATAAAATGCAAATGGGAAAAATGGAAATTAATTTGGGTACATGAGTTGACTCGAAATAATTTCTTCGTTAGAATCACTGGTCGGTATTAATATTTGATAGAATTACGATGTGTTATGTACATGTAACAATTCGCCATGATGAACGTAATCACTATGTACTGCAAAAATGTACCAGTAAAAAATAACATTTGATAAAGTAATCATAAACTGTCATGCAATCTACTGAGTATATGCCCGACACGGTTTTTGTAAGCCTTTTTGTAAGCCTTGCACAAACTTGATGAAATCTCACAGTAGCCCCATTAGGTAATTTAAAAAACTGTTAGTACAGCTATTATTATTTTGTTTTTTGAAACAGGGTATCGCTCTGTAGTTCAGGCTACTCTCGCCCTCGCGGTGATTCTCCTGCCTCAGCCTCCCAAGTGCTGGGATTACAGGCGCACAGTGCTGGGGACTGAACCCAGGGTCTCCGTATCATTGTTTATCTCCAGTTCTTGGATGGGAAAACTGAGTCCCAGAGACTGCAAAGCAGGAGCTAAGCGACTGTCGCGCTGAAAACCCCGAGCCGAAGTCCCCTCCCCAGGCGCCCCCAATTCCAGTACTTCCAGCGCACTCGCAGCGGGAGGTGGCGGTCGCGGCCCCGCCCCGCCCAGGAACCCCGTACCGTGTAGAGCGTCAGGTCCACGTGTCGCCACAGCCACCGGTCGTCCACCAGGCGCTTCCAGTGGTGACAGACCCTGGGGGAGGGGACCGGCCGTTAGAACGAGCCCGGCCCCGCGGGACCCGGGTCCGTGGCTCGGGGTGAGGCCCCTGCCCGGCTCTGTCCCCCCGGGGCGCGGGGCCGCACCTGGAGATGCGGATCCGGTCCCGGACCGGGAGGTAGGAGAAGATCTCCAGGAGGACCGAGTCCGGCAGGTCCGCCAAAGCCGCCATGATCGCCCCGCCGCGCGCCCGCTTCCGGTCGGGGGCACCGGAAGCTCCCCTTAGGGGTCCCGGGGATGGGGTGGGAGACGGGGGAGCCGCCGAGGGCGGGCTGGGCGGTGGCCGCGACTTCCAGTAGCCGGCCGAGAAACGCCGCTTTCTTATGGCCGGGACCTGGTGGTGTCCTGAGGTCGAACCAGTCTGAGACTCCGTAGGGCCGGCGAAAGACTAAAACTGACTTCGCCCGGAGTGTGGGGGCGGGGAGAACTAGGCGTGGCTTAGGGCGGGTCACCGCCCGGGGGCGTGGCAAAGGACGGGGGCGTGGCTGGGGTAGAGAACTAAGCCTGTAGAGCCTGGCGAGGTCTGGGGGCGGGGTTGGGAAGAAGCCAGGACCAACTTCAGAAGATGTGACTAGGGCCACAGGGCCAAACCGGGAGGGCGTAGGTTGGGGTGAGTCCGGGGCTAACAAGGACGGGGGCGTGTCTGGGACGGGGCGAGGTTCGGGAGGCGGGCATTGGGGCGGGGCAAGGTCTGGGGGCGTGGTTATAGTCCGGGAGTACAGTGGAAAAGAAGTTAGAAGAGGTCTGGTGAGTGGCACGAATGGGGTGTGACCGCTGCGGAGGACTATGCCTACAAGGCGTGGCTTGGGCGGGGCTACACCTGGGAGGACAGCGAATGGGCAGGGACTAGGCTGGGGCAGGGGCGGGGCTAAAGAAGAGGACCCGGTTCCGAAAGCTCGAGGCCGCTGGCCGACCACCACGCCTCTGGCTGGCGGTACGGCTGTAAGGTACAGGCGTGAGGTTCTGGGTTTCATCCTCGGCACCGCAATAAAAAGGGAGGGTAGGGCCGGGGATTTAGCTCAGTGGTTCCGCCGCCTGCCCCGCAAGCTCAAGGACCCGAGTTCAATCCCCGGTACCCAAAAAAACCAAAAAAACAAAAAAGGGAGGGTCAGTTCCGCCGCCTGCTTCGCAAGCTCAAGGACGCGAGTTCGATCCCTGGTACCAGAAAAAAAAAAAGGGAGGGTCAAGCCTGGAAGACGTGGTCGGGATGGGTACAAGACCCTGGGGAGTGACAGGGACAGTTCTGGCGAGGCCGGGGACGACCTGCAAGCCCGGAAGGCCCAGAACCTAGGACGAGGACCAAGGGAGGGGGGCTGAAGCCGGGGAGCTGTGGCAGCAGCCCGGGTCGTGGCCGACGGTGAGACAACTGGTTTTTTTTACCTCCTTAATGCTTTTTGCACTGCGCCTGCCTCACAAGCACAAGGTCCTGAGTTCGATCCCCGGCACCGTAAAAAAATAATAATAATGTGGTTTTAAAAAAAGTAATAATGTTTTTTAATGTCTATGCACGAGGATACGTTTGTGTAAGTGGCATAGTTCAGCCACGTGTTGAAATTTTTGATTGATTTTGCCAAATTGTTCTCCAGACTGTTTTGTATTTTCTATTTTGTTTGGTACCTGGGATCGAACTCGGGACCCTGCGCTTGCAAGGGAGGCGCTGGAACGTTTGAGCTAAATCCGGGGCCCTCCAGACTGTTTTGAGTCGACACTCCCATCAAATATATAGATCTGCGTTTAAAAATAGCAATTCGTTGGGGTCGGGGATATAGCTCAGTGGTTTCGCTGCCTGCTGCGCAAGCGCAAAGACCAGAGTTCGATCCCGGGTACCAAAAAAAAAAAAAAAAGCAATTCATAAAATAAATACAAATAAGTAAAAATGGCAATTTGTGAGCTGTGAGCATTGGCTGCACGCTTGTAATTCCAGCACTGAGGGAGGCTGAGGCAGGAGAATTGAAGGTTTAACTCTCACATGGGCAATTTAGACCCATTTTCAAAATAAAAATAAAAAAGGGCTGGAGATGTGGCTCAGAGGTAAAGCACTCCTGGGTTCGAGCCCCAGTACCAAAAAAGAAAAATTGTAAAAGTAGTTAAAATTAATTCAAACATTTTTATTGATAGGCATTCTAGTTGTTTCCAGATGTTACCAAAAATCATATTGCAGCCAAGTATTCTCTTATATAAACATATGTACACACACACATCCTGTTTATTTCTGTAGGATAAATAACAAGTCAGTTTGATGAGTCAGAAGATATGAGAGACTTAATTTTGAAATCATTTTCTAAATTACTCCACCAAGAATCTATAATGGCAATAAATATATTTTCAACACATACATACACACAAAAGTAGAAATTAGACAGTGAAACTGTTTTAAAAAGTCTTGAGGGGCCGGGAATTTAGCTCAGTGGTTCTGCCGCCTGCTTTGCAAGTGCAAGGTCCTGAATTCAATCCCCAGTACCTAAAAAAAAAAAAAGACAACTATGTCCTGTAAACAAAGTTTTTGACACTTTGTTCTCATATAATTTATAAGGCTCTGTCTTCTTCAAGGCTAAGTTATAAAACTGTCTGCCCTTGTCCTATTTCTATAAGCTCACTTGATGTCACTGAGTCAGGCCCCTTTGATGAAATGTATAAAAACCAGAAGTTCTCTTTGATGTTCCTTTGGACATTAGTCCATTTAGCAGGTGTTCAACTAAGATAAGCCCTCCTGTTTCCCACTGGTCTCTCCTGTTCTCTTGGATTCTGCAACTATGGTACTGGGGATTGAACCCAGGGGCACTCTGCCACTGAACTATATTCCTAGCCCCTTTTTGAAAGATGTTCTTACTAAATTGCCCAGGCAGGATTTGAGTTTTCGACCCTCCTGCCTAAGCCTCCCTGAGTGCTGGAATCACAGGAATGTGCCACCACACCCAGCTCCAAACTTCTTAATCTTTTCTAATTTCATAGAAAAAAAACCAAGCCAGGCATAGTTGTACATGCCTGTAATCCCTACGTTCTGGGAGGCTAGTGCAAGAGGACTGCAAATTCGAGTCCAGCCTAGGCAACTGAGTGATTTAATGAGGCCCTGTTTCCAAATAAAACATGAAAATAAAGAAAGGGCTGGGATGTCTTCAGGGATAGAGCATTTGCCTAGCCTGCATGACACCCAGGGTTCCATATCCCCAGTACCACCCCCCCACACACACAAACCACCACAGATAAAGTGATTTATGATTCGCAGTCATCTTATGACCATGGAGGGAAAGACCAAAAGAACTGCACAAGTCAGTCATCTCAGACATACCACCTACTTTCAAAATCTTTGTAGTGAGTCATTTAAGGCAACTATCAGCTGAAGCTAAGAGCATTCCTAGGAACTGATGAGCTCTAGGCCCATCCCTTTGCCTCCAACACTTTAAAAACAGCAACTTTTTCCTGGCTTTCTGGCTGACATAAAGAAATAAAGACACAAAATGGTTGGGAAATAAAAGACACAAACCTGGAAGGGAAACAGCTACGGCCAAAGACATCCTGGGTGAAGCCAGGTTGAATTTTGATGAGCTGAATAAGCTACAGGTGTTGGACCCAGAGGTTACTCAGCCGACCACAGAGCTCAAGGAAGAGTGCAAGGACTTTGTGGACAAAAGTGGACAGTTTCAGAAAATAGTTGGTGGTCTAACTGAGCTTGTTGACCAACTTGCAAAAGAAGCAGAAAATGAGATGAAGGGGCCGGGGATTTAGCTCAGTGGTTTCGCTGCCTGCAGCGCAAGCACAAGGACCCGAGTTCGATCCCCAGTACCGAAAAAAAAAAAAAAGAAAGAAAGAAAATGAGATGAAGGGCCATTGGTGCTCGGAACTTGCTCAGATCTATAGCAAAGCAGAGAGAAGCCCAACAACAGCAACTTCAAGCACTAATAGCAGAAAAGAAAATACAGCTAGAAAGGTATTGAGTTGAATATGAAGCTTTGTATAAAGTAGCAGAACAAAATGAATTTATTGACCAATTTATTTTTAAGAAATGAACTGAAAATTTCATTTTTATAGCAGGAAGGCAAAAAACCCCCACAGCAAACCCAAACCCAACCCCAAAACCAAAAAACCTCTACCATTCCAGTGACTTGACTGATGACCTGAGTATGTCATGAAACAGTGTAAGGAGTGAGCCCCCAAGGCAGTAATGCAAGTCTGGGGGAGCTGGTGTTAAACACCAGTGCACAGCCACTGCCAGTGGCCACAGAGGGCAGGTCCTCATCTCTTGCATTCTTAGTATGAACTAAGCAGTCTGTAAACTTTGTTCTTTTTTGTAAATTCACAATACTTTGGAAGGAAAAGCAATAAATTATTGTTTTTTGGTTTTTTTTAAAAAAAAACCTGTTCACTTCCTGGCCAGGATGCAGGAGAGGAAGAGGAAGGGGTGGAGTCCTGCAGCCCCTTTGAGCATACCCCAGTGACATGAAGACCTCCCACCAGGCCCTACCTATTAAAGATCCCATCGACTCCCAGTGGCACCAAAATGGCAGTCTATTTTGTTAACTTATTTTTTATTATACGTTTGGAGTACATGATTACATTCATTGTGGGGAGTAGGTACATGCACATAACACATCTTAATTATTTCCCTTTCTCTCCCTTCCTTCCCCCTGAGCTCCATCTCAAGATCTTCCCATTCACCAAAGATGTGTCTCCCTAAGGTCTATTGTCTGTCTTTTCTTTTTTTGTTTTTGTTTTTTTTGTTTTGGTACAAGGGATCGAACTCAGGTCCTTACGCTTGCAAGGCAGGTGGCAGAACCACTGAGCTAAATCCCCAGCCCTGTCTTTTCTTTTGCTCTTCAAATTATTTATACTTTAGGTTTCTCATATAAGATAAATTATGCTATATTTAAGCTTATGTGTCCGATTTATTTCACTTAACATTATGGTCTCTAGTTGGGTGTGGTGGTGCACACCTGTAAGCCTAGCACTTGGGAGGCTGAGGCAGGAGGATCGCCAGGAGTTCAAGGCCAGCCTGGGCTACATAGTGAGTTCAGGGGTAGCCTGAACCACAAAGTGAGACCCTGTCTCAACAAACCAAAACCAAAAAAACCCAAAACATGGTCTGAAGGTGCCTCCATTTTCCTACAAGTGACTCAAATTTATCCTGTACGGCATAGTACTCCATTGTGGATAAATTCATTTTCTTTATCCATTCATCTGTTGATGGACATACAGGCGGCATCCAAGATTTAGCTATTATGAACTCTGCTGCTGTAAACATGGGTACGTACAGATCACTGTGATATGATTTCTTTAATTCTTTCAAGAAGATACCTAGAAGGGGAATAACTGGGTCAAATGGAATTTCTAGTTGTACCTATTCCAGGAACTTCCCATTGCCCCCTACTGTCTCCCCAGGATGGCTAGGGCCCCTCAGTAGACCCTCCCAAGCCTCCTCTGAAGCCCAACCCCCAATAATCTCAGGTTTCATTTTCCTGTTCTCTCTGCAGCACTCCCTACACCTTTCCAACCTCCACAACCCACAACTCAGCATCACCACCCTGAGCTCTCTCGACCTTTCAAATCCTGAGAAATTAGAATTTTTAAATCAAGGTCCACCCCTTCCCCCTTTTTACAAAATGACTGC